TACGAGCGGTAGTTGTAAAATATAGTTTGTACATTAAAGTTTAAGTGAGGTTATCACTAAAAATGTAATGGGTAAATCATTGTAGTACTGTAATTTTGTATTATAGGAACTACTGCTGTACTAACTACCTTAAACCAGATTTATATTAAGGTATAATGTGATAATTGCACCATACTATCGACTGATAACAACGACATAAGGAACGGTCGTAATAACGGAATGACGTTTGGCACCCGCAGACCTGCAGGTCCGGCTGTAGCTAGCAGCAAGGTGTAGGATAGTCAATCCAGTATAGATCTATACGCAAACTCAATGCTCTCCCTCCAAGAGAATTCTGGCTACAACTCGGGCCATGACATTTAAGGCATGCTCCGATACAGTGGATCACAATTGTTAACGTATTCTTGTATATGAAATGAATTGTTCTAGTATAGTTGTATATGTTCTTTCTCTAGTATAGTTGTATATGTTCTCTGTCTAGTATAGTTGTATATGTTCTCTTTCTAGTATAGTTGTATATGTTCTCTTTCTAGTATAGACTCATGAATGAACTGACTCATTGATCTAGCAGTTGTAATAGTATGATCATGTGTTACCCCGATGGTAACTTACTAATAGTGTGTCTAGTACGTATGAATATGGAAGTACTTTTATGTCTATATATGTATATTTGATATATAATTAATATGGAAACGACCTTTGGATGGTCACCCGAAATTCCACCAGACCACATCCAAATCGAGGAAAAGGAAATAGGGCAGGTGGCTTTCCTAAGCCCTTTAAACATTATTTATACATGTATACATATATGGGCATGCAATTTATAAGTAGTAAAACAAAGTTTAAATAAAAGCATTTGATAAGTAAAAGAGTTTGTAAAATATTTTGAAGTAAAATAGTTTGAACAGTGATAAAATCATTGGTTTCCTAGTTATTAATCACATGTGATTAATGCAATCACATGTGATTAATGCAATCACATGTGATTGAAGCAATAACTATAAGTATTTAACTTGTATCCCCCCCCCCCCCCCGCGTAAAGTATTTAAACATTTAAAATCATTTCAAAGGTTGATTTAAGGGGTATGAACTCACTTGAAAGTTTTAAGATAGCGAGATGGAAAACCGGGCAGAGTTTTGTCTTGGGAAACGGATTTTTCTCGGGGTTCTCGGGAATCTCGGGAGTAAAATCGACCCTCGGGACTTGAGCAAAAAGACCAGAGCTTCGGGTTTGAACGTGCACGGAAATCAAGGCAAGATCATGAGAGAAAGAGAGAGAATGAGCAAAATTTCCGGAAAGCCTCGCATCCCTTTTATAGGGATGCTGAACCGCCTCGGTACGCTGGGCGTACGAGGGTACGCAGCGCGTACGAGACGTCATCGCTTACGTATTTCGGATGGGGCTGGTCGGATGGGACGGGTCGGTAGCTTCGCATAGGGCGATGTGGACGATCCGAGGCCCTTGATTTGAGTACGCGGGGCGTACGAGGGTACGCAGGGCGTACTCCGGTCCTATCTGCTGACTCCCCTTCGGATATTACCAAGAATTTATATTTAAATTTATATTTATTTTAAATAAACTTCTAAAACTCATATCTCCTTCATAGGAACTCCGTTTTCGATGGTCTTTATATCCACGCGTAGGTGAGACTATCCTCTACAACTTTCGTTTAGGTTCCGTTGGCAAATTCCAAAGTTATTTTTATTATTTATTTATTAAAATGACGTGATTAAGGAATTTCTTTAAAAATTCATAACTTCTTTATCTGACGTCGGTTTTTGCCAGACTTTTTACCGCTGAAATATCATTGTCGAGACCTTCGATTCTCGTTTAGGTCATTCCGGCCAAAAGTCGCTCGATCTCCGATTCGAGTTTTTAGTTGTCTGTTGCTAAGCCAAACTTGGAAAAATCATAACTTCAATATACGAAGTCGGATTTGGGCGTTATTTTTACGTACGATCATGGTTTAATGACATTTAAACATAGAAGAATTTAAATAGAAACTTTTTGGACATTTTATTATCAAAGTTAATTTTATTAACTCAAAAGTGGTTACAATACTTGACTTTTTAGGTCACTACAAAGAGTTGAAATATCGGGTTGTCACAGAGATACTTCCCAGACGTAGTCCCTTGAACCATTTGTTAGCATTTCCCGATAATGTGAAGGGGAAGTAGGTGCAGGTAAATCTCTTATCCATCCGAAGGGATGTCATTGTCCAATCGTAGGTGCCTATGTGTCCGTCAGGATCTGTCGTGCCATAATACTTTAGGATGTTTGGGATCATGACAGAATATGATATTTCATATTGTAATAGCTCTTGGTAGATCGTCGAGCTAATACTTGTTATGGGTTTGTTCATGTGTGGGTAGTTGGGTGTTCCGCTGACCATCTCTTGTTGTAAGTGGTATGGGTTGTTGTACCCTTGACCATACTCGTTATGGTACGTATGGTTGTACATAGTCTCTTGAGGCATATACGGTGCCTGTGTGGAGTATGCGTGCATCGGCTGATGCAACTGCGAACTTGACTCTGTTGGCCCCGTAGTGTGTGAGTTCATCCCCTACGTTGGTGTGCCTTGAATGTTAAGGTTTTGTGGCTGCATTTGAGGGTACACGCCTTTGTAGTGGTATGGATATGGGTTGAACGGTGGTTGCTGCACAAATAGTGGGATATGCGACATGGTGGCCATCGGGAAGACTGATGACCTGCAGGCATTGGTAGTGCGACTGATATAACGGTGCCAGGGGACCAGGCGCTGATCTCCACCTGTCGCATCGATGGTTATGGTTAATTTGTTATTTGTTGTGATCGGGTGACCGACACTCTTTGAGGCGCTATGGTGGTAGTCGTGGTCGAATGTTCCGTTGTGATGGGCGTCGGTCACCATAGACTAGCGATGAACTTCATCGCTAGGCCGACTGGTAGCGTCGTTGAAGTGTATGTGAGCGGCCGCCCTTCCAGTGTCGATGGACCGCTTCCATCGAGGGACTTGCATTGGCCTAACTTGGATAGTGTCGTCACCTTCCTGACATATCGATCCTTTATTCGTCATTTACGGTGCCTGATGTTGTGAAGTGGGTTGTGCCGTAATGGGTGCACGTCCAGATGACGTCAACTGTTGTGATAAGTCTATGAATTAACTCCATCTCTTTGGGGGATGAAAATGAAGGGTCTGAGAATCACATCAAAAAAATAATATAGTCAGTCGTTCTTCGTGAGGCAATCCCGAAAACGAAGCCCTGACGATCAAGTCAGTTTGTCTTTTAGAGAGAAGGTGGAAAAGTGTTAGGTAAGTGCTTAAGGGTTTTTTCTTTCGATCCCTTCTCTTGGAGGAGAAGGGACTTTTTTATACCTGTGGTTAGGGAGACAGATCTCTAACAGTACCTTCTACATTTTCAGGTTTGGCAGGGATAGATGGTCTTCGATTGGGAAATTGTCATTCGTGAGTGGTTGTCTGCTGTTGGTGTAGGTTTGCTAGGAGCGGCGTCCTGAACGCTACACCTATCGCTCTGGGAGATGATTGATTATATTTTTTCTTGACGCTGGCCTTGGCGCTACGAATACAGGATCGCGGGGGTGAGGGTGAGGACACGACGTTAGGCATATGTCGTCCTTTGCCTAAACCGTATATCAGACTGACAATTCCGTTATGTTTGATGTATTCCTGGTGGGATACGTTATCAGTAGCCAAACTTGATGAAGTTGGATTAGATTCTGATTTCTATTAGATTATACGAGTGCTTCTCAAAGTCAACTGCTTCGTTTGGAAGTTGTTGAAAAATAGAATTTCGTTTTCGGTTAATCTAGTTCGAATAGGTATTCCCATAAACTCCTCCATCTATTGTTTATGTAGTTGGGAGGAGGAGAACATTGTCATGTGTTTTTCAGCTGCAACTATGCTACTGTGGAGTGGAATTGGATTGGTTATAGGGCCTCTTTTTTGCTTTCAGTTCCTAAGAATCTGGTGGAGTTTGTTGCTGTGTTAAATGATCCTCTCTTAACAACAATTTGGCCTTCATTAGGAGTTGGTTGATGTACTATGCTCTATGGTTACTTTGGAAGGCGAGAACAAATGGTTTAACAATGATAGGATTGCTTCCTTGAAGACGGAAAATGATATTCAATTCACAACTCTTAATTAGTAAATATAGATCAAATTTGATTGTATTAGGCTTGACTATTATCAACACGACCCGCGACACGACCGACAACACGACACGAAATAAACGGGTTTGAGTTGATTTTTTCAACCGTCAACCCGCCATCCCGCCAACCCGTCAACCCGTTTATTAAATATGTCATATATGAGTTTCTAAAAAAATATACGTTTGACCCTCCAACCCGTTTAGAATTTTAATTATAAAAATTTATTTTTTTTAAATGTATTAAACATTACTCACTATTATTTATTTTTACAATTTTACTTGGTATGTTTCAATCTTACCTATTATTTTTACTTCATGGTTGAAATTCATTATAAAGAACAAAATAGTGTTGAAATTCATTAATTTTAATGTTTTAGTTTCAACATTTTTCCATAAATGTTTTTAATTTTCATTTGGATGTTTAAGACTTAAGTTTCTAAAATTTAGATATGTTTGCATCAAAAATTTATTGTTGTTTAATTATCAATTTTATTTATAGAATTTGACCCTAGAACACATGAACTCAAATTTGACCCACGAACTCGCCAACTTATGCATCCGTATAAATAAGTGGGTTGACGGGTCATATATGAGTTTATGTTCCAAACCCGCTAACCCGTGACCTGTATAGTTAAATAAATCGTGTTTGGGTTGTTATAGTTTGACCCGCCAACCCGTAATCCACCAACCCGAACACGATACAATTACCAGACCTTTTGCAATCCTCTTTTTAATTATATTTCTAATGTCCTACTTATGTTGTCCGACGTTCCAAAAAAAAAAAACTTCGAAAAATAAATTAAGCTAAACATAAATCTCAGATTCGAGCACTAAATTTATACTTTCCTCCTATTTTATTGACTAATAAACTGCCACCACGTGTTCCAATGAAAACCGCGCCCTCGTTCAATTATGCCTCCCACAAAATTGACCACATGTTCAACTTGACTCCTTCCACTCCTTGCCCTAAAATTCTCTTTTCGATACATAAAAACCACATCTATTCTCCGCCCTTTTGAAACCCCAACTGCTCTCGCTCTTTCTCCGTCGCTCTTTCTCTCACGTCTTTTACGAAATCTACCATCGGTGATTCGATCTATACAGATTGATGGCGTCGTTCGCGGAGGCTCCAGCCGGAAACGCCACCGCTGGCGAGAAGATCTTCAAGACTAAATGCGCTCAATGTCACACCGTTGAGAAAGGCGCCGGACACAAACAAGGTTATCTCTCGTTCTATCTTTATGTTGTTTAGATCTGATGGTTTGCGAATATACACGTAAGGTGAAGGATTATTTGGTATGATGCGGTGCATGTTACGTTTCTTTTAAAACGGTTGTTGTTTTCATGTATAATACGTTATTTGCTATCGTCTATGTTAGATCGGATGATAAATCTTATTTGTGTGTCGTTTCGTAAGTGTTTTGAATATCGTTGGTGGTGGTCTGCTTTATACGCTGATCCTGACAGGGTTAAAATTTTCTATTTGAAAGATAAGTTTTATTAGTCATTTTACACACGGATGATGAGGTGTGTAAATTCCTGTCATCGGATCTAGTATTTTTTACACAAGAGATCGATTTTATTGACAAATTATTACATAAGAAATCATGTAATAAATTGATAATAATGAACCGAGTGAACAAAAATAAGTCGATTTATATGATCTTTAAGATTACACCGTTTTCTGAAAAAAACCTTCCTGGATTACTCACACAAATTATAATCAGTTTGAAGACTTATATTTTCAGTATTCCGAATTATAACTTAATCAGTCAACTCAAAGATTTCAAAGTTCAAAAGTAAACTAAATTATACCTCAATGTTTTCAGCCATTGATTTTTATGACTTATTATCTTTTAAAGTCCGAAACTAAAAAATAGATCACAAAAGCCAAATGATTATCAATTTTGGTTTAGGAATGTGATTGTTTTGAACTTTATGATTTTGGGTTCTTATACTATTCTTGTGCGTAAAGCCAGGTTTTTGTATTTGATGTTCAACTAATTTCAAAATTGCAAGATTAGTTCGTTTTAATCCTGATAAATGTCTAATGGTTAGGTTAATCAACAAGAATTTTAGTGGTTAAGGAAATTTTTGTTTCTTATTGTGGCTCTCTTGGGTGTGTTTCAGTATAGACCTTGTCTGTTGGATGTTTTACATTTTGTATATTCTTAAATTAACCTTATGAATTAAATATTATCTAGGAGTTTATTAACATAGAAATCAGTTGTTCTTAATCAATGCTTTTAGTCTGGGTATTCATCTGATTGCAACAGTAGTTGCTTGATGAATTTCATGTTTAGACTTACCAAGGACATGTTATATATTTACATATATGAAAGCCAGTGCATGTACATAATTGGAAACCCCTCTTTTCCTGTCTTTCTCTTTTAAGTTGTCTACAGAAAGAAGTAGCCTCATGTTTCTGATTTAAGTCTGGCAAGTAGAAAAGAAGCAGAATCTAAGTGTATTGTTATTTGTTAATAAGTTTATATGAGATAATGAATGTAGAAGGATTAATTTTTTTTTTACTCTACGGGCATGGGCATGATATATGTGGTTATTATGCAGGACCCAATCTTAATGGACTATTTGGAAGGCAGTCTGGAACCACTGCTGGATACTCTTATTCAGCTGCTAACAAGAACAAGGCTGTCAATTGGGAGGAAAATACATTGTATGACTACCTGCTGAACCCCAAGAAGGTATATAATAACCATTTCTTTCATTTATGATTTTAAAAACCTCTTTGATCTGACAGATGCAAATCAAATTTCAATGGGTTAATGTTTGGTATGATGGAATTAGGAAGAGAATGGTATTTCCATTGGATTGAAAAATAAGCTGTTTGTTTTGTCTGGAATTCTTTGAACAATCTGTTTTCTTTCAGTTTTAGCAAATTCCATTCTGTAGTCATGAATGAAAATTTACAATGTAACTCATTTAAACTAATTTAACTTTTCGTAATAGCTGTTTTATATAAAATCTCAGGTTTTCAAGTTCGTTACATATTAAAAAAAAAAAAAAAACTAGGATATATATATATATATATATATATATATATATATATATATATATATATATATATATATTCTTTCTCATGATTTTATTCAAGTTTTATTGAGTATTTAGTAGGTTTTAATTTTCTATTTTTTGTAGATAGAAAAATTTATTCATTACAATTAAAACTTTAGTTAAAAAAAACTATACATTGTATTTACATATAATATTAAAATAGTCTTTTTATTCCAAGATGCCAACCAAACGTGATCATGTTTCATGGAATATAATGAGTCAGAGAATATTACTTTGCTAATGCAACTGATGAGAAAAAGTAGAGCTAACATGTAGTTAGGTTTTACATGTGTGACCATGTGAACTCATATAAATAGCTATCCTAAATTGTATCTACATGATTTCTTCATATGACATTATTTATATAAAATATGCAAATGAAAAACCTAATTTGTATTATTTAAAGAGTTACCCTAAAATAAAATAAGAGCCAATTTGATGGAATCCAAACTTTTTTAGTTGTTGGACAAAGACTATTTCTATTGTTTCATGTGAGTTTTCCTTTTTATTCTTTTAGGAAGTGAAAGATATCATAGAGTTGAGAAATGAATTTAAGATGCTATAATAAACAAATGACTGTGTGTATTTTTTTTATGATATCACATTAAAAAGGTTTTTCTGTATGTTTGTATCAAAGTAGAATGCTTATGTATTTTTTTTAATGCTGCAGTACATTCCCGGAACAAAGATGGTTTTCCCAGGACTGAAAAAGCCACAGGAGCGTGCAGATCTTATTGCCTACCTCAAGTCATCGACCGCGTAATTTTTTTCTTTTATGTTTTGACACCCTTTTAAAGTTTTTTTGTTGATGATTTGAGGTGGTTGGTTATAAGGGGATAAATTTGGATTTTCTTTTCTGTGAAGAATAAGGGGAGAGGACATTCATCATCTTTCATTGCTCCTTAAAGTTTTGAGCACTGCTTTATTCATTTGGCAAGAGATTGCCTTATTCATCATCATTCTATATAATGTTTGTTAACTTATCATAGTTTTTGATCTTTATTATGCATTTTATATAAAGTTAAATTCTTGCTTATGTAACTATGTTGCATACTTTGATAAAAAAAACATAGTCTCATAATTGTCCAAGAAAATTACAAAGCTGTCGAATAAATAAGCATAGAATGTTACTCTTTTGTTTATAGTTAGACCCGGAGGTTTGCAGCCAATCAACTTTGATCCAGACTCTTTAATAAATATTAGAATCTGATCCAAACAGGTTTTGTAGTTTTGGATAAATGAACACGTACTTTTATCCTTCGAATCGAATAAATGAATATCCGTTGCACTAACCCGACTAATGTACAAAACTATGATTATACAATTATTATGCATTCTATAAAAATTATCCATAAAATATAACAAATCACATTTCTACTTAATAATTACAATAACATTTTTTAAATAAAATAAATATCTATTGTAGCAAACATGAATGAGATAATGTACAAAACTATGATTATACAATTATTATGCATTCTATAGAAATTATCCATACAATATAACATAATTTCTACTTAATAATTAAATAACATTTTTTAAATAAAATAAATATCTATTGCAGCAAACATGCATGATATAATATAGACATGGATATGTGTCCTAAAAAATTCAAGAATTTGACCGGTCAACTCACTTGGAGCATCGTTCTATTGCAGCAAACATGCATGATATAATATAGACATGGATATGTGTCCTAAAAAATTCAAGAATTTGACCGGTCAACTCACTTGGAGCATCGTTCATGTACAGCGTCTGTATGTCAATATTAAGATGCTGTTTGTTTGTTTAATACAAAATGTTTGTAGTCTGCAGACGTTTGCAGTAAAAAAGGTGTACCATGCGTCTGCAGTCTGAAAGAAGAAATTGTTTTTTAACGTATGCAGGCTAATAAAATAAATTAAAATCTAAGTAAACTAAGTTTTTTAAATTTTTATGTATTATTGTATAAAAAGTGAAAATAAAATAATACAAATTAACGTATATATTTGATAAAAACCGACAAGCGTTGGTTGCAAAGTGATATATAAATATTATAATTAGTGATTAAAGAATTTAACACATTAAATTTATTGAAATAAACTTCGATGTTAAATGATAATTTTCAATTTTTTTTGATGAAATCATTATAAAACAATATTATGATTTTTTTTCATGTCTTTATAAATAGATCCAATAATTATTATTGTAATTAAATCTTTATTTATAAATGTCATTTTTGTGTCGTTGAATTTTTTTTGAAGTGATGTATTTTTTTAAAAATTGTTTATCATAGATAAAGTTGGAATAAATCTAACTGAAAAAAAAAGATATATTCGTTATTTAGATTAGAAGATGTTAGAAGACTCTTCGTTGCCGAGCCGCCTCTCTTCGCCATTCGATGCCTCTGCCTTCCCTTTCTATAACATAGCCAAGCACCCTACTTTACAATCACTAAAAAAAAAAAAGAAATACCAATCAACGTTCTATCGTATCAGTATGTCTTTGTGATTTTTCCGACCTTAGGGGATTTTACTTGACCCATTTCTCCAGTCTCCCACAATGCTTAACTAAGGTGCGACTCCGTAAGAGGACCTCCTTCAGTCTACATCTGTGCAAAGAAGAGGACGTGCATACTTTTTAAGATCTGCAGTATTCAGAAAAATAATCAGTCTAAAAAGACTAATGTCTACGCATGGTCTATACGGTACATACATAATATGTTAAGAAAATCTACAGACAAAAATCAATAACACCTAAGTTACTTGAAGTAAAATAAATCAAACGACTTTTAGAGTTCACTTAAGAGTTTTCTCGAAGGTAGCTAGACTTGTGTAGCCATCAAATCTAATTTGATATTTGGATATGGAATTAAAAACAAACAATTGGGATTCTAGACTAAAATTGTAGTAGTTATCTCTTGACAGTTTATAAGTAGAGTAGATCAATATGGATCCATACCGACCCTTTTAATAAAATGGTTAACATGTATAGTGATCGTTAATAGGAAAACAAATAAAATACATAAGATCCAAACCTTTATAATTCTTACGAGTTTTGATCCATAGGTTGCTTGTTTTATTCATAAAAGGAAAAATGAAACAAGCTTTTTGATTTTCTAGAAATAAACCAATTAGAATGTGAGTGTATAATTAATCCACAAAGTTTCTATCAATTGCATAAAAAGACAAGCAAATAAAAGTTACCTAAGCTATAAAAAACAATTTTTTTTTGCTTGACAACTATTCAAGAAGTTTTTATCAAAATGTGTTTTAAGAATTTTATTTATCAAAATTTTATTTACCAACTACGTATAGTTTCATTAATAACTAGGCGAATACCTACACGTTGCGCAAAAATACTTATATAGTTTGAAGTCTTTATATATATATATATATATATATATATATATATATATATATATATATATATATATATATATATATATATATATAACAATAACGTTGTTAAATTTTATATAATAATTCTTATACTAAATTGATTGTTTTGAATTATATATATATATATATATATATATATATATATATATAACAATAACGTTGTTAAATTTTATATAATAATTCTTATACTAAATTGATATAATACATTGATTGTTTTGAATTATATAATAATATATATATCTATTATAACCACACAATCTAAATCATTTAAATGATTTCTACCTACAAGTTACAAATTAATAAAATTAAATATAATATACGGTTTAGTGTTATTTATAGTTGTTGTTATTGCTAATTAATTTTTTAAAATTTATTTGCTTAATGTTTTAATTTCTATCATTATAATTATTTAAAATATCAAACATTGTTTTTTGATTTTAAAGGTAACAATATAATCATTTATATAGAGTTATTTTAACTATTGTTATTGTAAGTTATTTTAAGCTACTTATTTAAAAACTTTTAACGATTATAAAAGTATATTTAGGAAATATTTTAGTTAAATTGAGATTATAATTTAGTTTTTACATTTATTACTACAATTTATCACTTTTAACTATTTACAAAATATTCTTTGGTTTTTTAAGTGGAATTGAAATTTATATTTAAGTTGACCCTGTAATTTTATATTTAACTTAACAATTTAAGTATTTTGTCCAAACTGTTCAAAAGTTGCAGTTTTAAACTAATAATGGTTTACATACAACTATGTTTTAAATCTAACAAATTAAGTATAATATGTTAAAGTTAAAGACATAGCTTTATAAGCAGAAGTAAATATATTATTTTAAAACTGAAATATAGTTTATTTATGATTACACTTTAGGTTTAATATTTATTTAACCTAATTAACTACTAGCCAATGATTTCATAGCATCTTTGTTGCATGTGACCCTCCTCGCTATAATGGGTACATGTAAAGGAATTTCCTTTAATTTTTGAATTATTTCCTTTTGTATGACGATTTTGAGTGGCCATGTGGACCATGCTATCGTGTTCTAGTTTTGGTTCCTCCATAGTCTACCTTTGATTATGATCTTTTCGGATGTGTGTGTAACAAGACTCCAAGCTTAGGGGTGGATCTTTCCTCAAGATCTTACTTTGGTCCTAATTAAAATCTAAATCTAATCCTTCCAGGAAAATGTGTACCCAGAGACGTGACATGGTCTTGTTCATAGAGACATCCTCGTCTACCATATCTTCTTGTGTGATCAACTGAGTATCAATTTCTTAGAATATGCTAAACAACTCATTATAGTAAGTTTGTAGGGAACGGCCACTCTGTGGAGTGTTAAATGACCTCCGGTTCAACTTAAATAATTGGGTTTCATTTGTTCCATCGTAGAATGTATTGCCTACCGCCTCCCATATTCTCACTGTTATTTGAAGGCAAATGAAAAGACAAATTAAGGGTAGCTCATCGATTCAACCAACCAGCTCTTGACTCGGTTGTTGTACATCAACCAAGGTTTGATTTGTTTTTCATCTTTAGTAGGTATAAAGTTTTACCTGTTAGGTAACTAGGCTTATTCCTTGCTCATATATTCATCTCCATTAGTTGAGACCATAAATGGTAATTTGTGTCATATAGGTGTTGGGTTTTTATTCAAAAATTAGTTTAAAAAACAAGACATTTTAGCAATGGAAGACTTGAAATTTTCAAATAACATAAACAAGTTTATAACCAACCATGGATCTTTTTTCAATGTTTGGAAAGAAAACAACAACCAAAGAAGATGAAGAAGAAGACAAAGTTTATAGTCTTTGAATCCTCAAGGGGAGGTTAGGAAGTTGTTAAAGAATGTAAAAACCTTTGAGACACTAACAATAATACAACTTGATGATGATGCTAGTATTTAAACTCTTATACTCTTAAGCTTAAAGTTCAAATCCTAATATGAACTTCAAGAGAGCAAATAAAATGCAATTAGCTCCAAAATATGAACAAAAGAGTGAGAAGTGCTATCCTTTCTACATGTTACATTTTTAGTGTACCAAAGAAAGAAGGAAAGTGCAAGGTGATGGGTTTTATATGTTAGAAAAAATCTATTTTTGGCAGAAAAACATAAACCTTAAGTTCACATGCACCCTAAAGGACCTATTTCTCATTATGATTTACAAATAACTATTGAATATCAAGAACCCTAGAAGTATGTTACTATCTTTGAAATTAATATAAGGGTTATAGAAATTATATACATTTTGTTTATTGTAGTAAATAAACAATGGTTCTTTCTTGATATAGCTTTAGAAAGCAAGTACCAAAAATCACGTGCATTTAATGGTTCACACCCAAACCCTAGCAAGTTGGAGGATAAAGAGGAGAGAGGAGTATAGGAAGGATTTTTGCTTCTAGATCTTATAGAAGGGATGAACCAAATTATCAACCCTTAGTGGGTTTTGTATAGGTGATAGGGAGGCTAAGGATAAGGCAGTTTCCTTAGATAAGCCTTATCCCTTTTGCTTTCCCCCTAAGGCATCCAAGTTTCCATAGAGCCCAAAAAAAAGCTCTAGAAACCATCTAAAAACCCTATAACCA